TATTGAGGTTTTGGTAAGGAGGGTATGTTGTGAGAATGGAGGTGCAGAATTTGGCAGATGCATATGTGGGACTTGTCAAACTTGGTTGGTGGCAGCAGGGGAAATCCTTGGTTCAGAGAAAAAGAAAACATCACCATTGTGATGTAGCACCATTGTGGAAGGTTGCATCACCAGAATGATGCGACAGACACTGAAGAATTAGGGTAAGGAACGGAATGAACTTCTTTCCTTTCTGTACTTATTCTACCCAGTCCTTGCTCACAACCTATTACATCTCTATTTCTCAGCCCTTATGAAAAGTCATTGACCTGAAATGCTGATTCTGTTTCTTTCTCCACAGATTATTGGCAACCTTGGGAGCAAGGAACAAGGTTTTATCTTACTGTTGTGAAGTCTTTTCAAGGCTTTTAAAAACAAAACAAAAAGCACAAGAACCATATGCAACCTTGTTAATTAATAGACTTTCTCCCTTTACATAATGTTGGCAGAAAATTATTTTATAGTTAGTGCTCAAGTTATTTCCAAACTTTTAAAATGGAGTCAAGATTGACTGAGTCAGGCTGCTGTGATAGTTCAGTGAATCCATCTACTGATTAGTTGCATGATACAGAGGAGGAAAGAGTTGATGTCAGCCGTTGTGGCTGCAGAGAAACTACAACTAACCTCTATGCTTCTGGGTGAAGGAAGGAAAATGCAACTATGCTGTTGAATAATACTCAGGAACCCCCCCTTGGAAATGTTGATGTGTCGATTTGTTGGAAGTGCAGCTAAATGAAATCTGTACCTCACTATATGGTAGGTTTGCTGCCACCATCCTCTTTAATTGTAGGCATCTACATGACCTGTTTGATCTAGTATGGTAGAGGAGAACTACTTAACTGGCCTAACTAGAAGTGTCCCATGTAGTTAACAAGATATAGCTTATTCATGTTAGCAACTAGTTACTGGTTACATTGATATGATTGACATTGTTACAAAAACTGTAAGTAGGACCAGGCTATTATGGAGTCACAGAACTTAACAGCATGGAAACAGATCCTTTGGTCCAACTCATCCATGCCGACCAGATATCCTAAATAAATATAATCCCATTTGCTAGCATTTGGCCCATATCCCTCTAAATCATTCCTATTCATATACCCATCCAGATGCCTTTAAATGTTGTAATTGTACCAGCCTCCACCACTTCCTTTGACAGCTCATTCCATACACGCACCACTGTCTGCATGAAAAAGTTGCCCCTTTGGTCCCTTTTAAATCTTTCTTCTGTCGCCTTAAACCTATGGCCCCTAGTTTTGAACTCCGCTAGCCTGGGGAAACGACCTTGGCTTTTTACCCTATCTATGCCCCTCATGATTTTATAAACTTCTATAAGGTCACCCCTCAGCCTCCGATGCTCCAGGGAAAATAGCCCCAGCTTATTGAGCTACTCGTACAGCTCAAACCCTCCAACCCTGGCAACATCCTTGTAAATCTTTTCTGAACCCTTTCAAGTTTCACAAGATCCTTCCTATAGCAGGAAGTCCAGAATTAAATGCAGTATTCCATAAGTGGCTTAACCAATATCCTGTAGAGCAGCCTATTATTAGGTGTTACTCCACCGAGATCCATAGCTGTTCTGCTTGCAAGTTCATATGACATTGTTATAGCAATTTAATTTAAAGCAGGGTTTTTGTATGATTGTTTAGTATTGATTTGATATAACATTACACAATAGAACTATTTCAAGAAGAATAAAAGTAAAATACTGCAGATGCTGGAAGTCTGAAACAGACAGAGAATGCTGGAAGATACTGATCAGGTCTAGCAGCCTTTGTGGAGAGAAACTGAGTTAACGTATTGAGTCCAGTATGGCTTCTCTTCAGAAATGTGAAGTCAGAAATTCTGAAGAAGAGTGGTACCAGGCTTGACACGTTAACTTTGTTTCTCTTCACAGATGCTGCTGGACCTGCTGAGTATCTCCAGCATTTTATGCTTTACTTCAAGAAGGAGCTGGATCTACATTACTATTGCAGCCTTACTGTTGCTTAAGACACCAAGGAAAACCATATATTTGGAGGTGCGGCATCGTTTTGGAGGTAGCAACAACACCACGAACTTAAACATATACTGTTCCTTTAATTCAGTAACGTGTTCCAAGATATTTCACAGGAGTGGCACAAAACAAGATCACCAAGAAAACAAATGAGCAGCCACCTGACAAAGAAACCCATTGTTGCAGTCCAAGGCAGCAGCATTACAACAGCTGAAAGCTGTCACTCAGGGATAAAATCCAGAAGATCAAGGGACATGTGGTGAGAAGAGAGAGCCCAGTAAATCCAACAAACTGCAGACCATCGCGCTATATGAAACTGCTTTGAAGCCACCAGGGCCATAAGGACCAAGGTCAAATGGACAAATTTCCCTTTGCTTACAGGATAATTGTTTTCTTACAGATGACAATACCATCTGTCACTACTGAAAAGAACATCTTTAGTAACAATAATCATGAATTCAGTGTGGCAACTAATATCCTCCAAGCCAACCCTGAGTACCCTAAAGTTGAATCTTTGGGTAAACCTCTATTAATGGGAGAGCTCCAACAGGCAATGAAACAGATTTTTTAAAAAAGCAAAGCTTGCAGCCCTAATGGTTTTCCAGCTGAGGCTTTTAAAGTTGGTGGGCTTTTGTTCACATGAAAATTCCATGCACCATCCTACAGATGTAGAAAGAAAAAAATCTGTCTCTTCACCCCCAACCTGCTCAACAAACTTCAGGATTGCAACAATTGTAACAATTTAAAGGGGAGAAACGAATCATGTTGTGGAAATGATCGAGGTATTTTCCTCTTATTCCATAAAAGGGAAACTGTCAGCAGGCATCCCCCTGAACTGCTTACCTTCCATGGCTGAAGGAATCCGGTATGGCCTAGATCTTCCAGAAGAACATCTGTAAATGTCTTTGATGCCAGACAAATCCAAGAAAAATAACGAGAACAGCACCTGCAACTTGTCATTGCATTTATTGATTTAACCAAAACATTTGATTCAATTAATGATGAAGTTGTGTGGATTGTGCCATGAAGCTTTGGATACCCAAAAAATTTCTTCACAATTCTGTAACTGCTTCATCATGTTCGTTAGAGTCAAGGCAGATAAAAGAACAACTCCAATTGGTGGAATAATTAAAATTAGTGTTGTTCAAGGAGCTAGAATTGGAAGAATGCAGAGATTTCAGTTCTCTTGCTCCTTCAATACTGGCACGCAGTAGCAGCAATGTGTAGTGTCTACAAGATGCACTCCAGCACTTCACCCATGCTCCTTTGATAATATTTTCCAAACTCATGACTTCTATCCGCAAATTCCCATCTGAACCACTCACCATTCCGATTTGGAATTATATCACTGTTCCTTCACTGTTACTGGGTCAAATTCCTGGAACTCAATCAACAGTTCTGTTAGGAAGGATTTACACCCAAGGAACAGAGTGGTTCAACAAGACAGCTTGTCACCACCTTCTCCAGGGCAATTCAGGATGGCAATAGATGATCGTCTAGCCAGCAACACCTACATTCAGTAAACAAATAGAAAAAAATTCTGAGGAATCTTGGGCTGCGGGAAGTTCCAGAATTGGGAAAGGACAAGGCCATCGAGAAATGTGAAAACATGGAACTGAGAATCAGTGTAGTTTAGTATGCAAAGAGGTAATGGGTAAATGGGTCTCAGTGTGAGTTAGGATATGATGAACACTGTAGTGATTTGTAGCAAGGTCAGCCAGTTGGATCTCAGAGTATGAATACCCCTGAATGGGGCTGTTAATCTTTGCAATCACGGAGACCTGGCTGACTTAAAAGGGATATTGGGCCCTGAATGCCTGACTGTTGAGAGGCAGTGCTATTATCAAAGGCTATGAATTTGTAAATAAAGGATGATTGGTAATGCTGGCTGTGAAGAGTTATTTCAAGCACAGTTTTTGATCAGGTTAAATTTTTGCAGGTGACAGGTGGGAATTTGACCAGTAATGGATTGGGACAGTCATGTATAAAGATAGTAAAGGCATTGATGGAGGATTCAGTAGCAGTAGCTAGGCTAAGAAGGAGTCCGAAGATGTTTTGGAATTGGAACTCAAAATTTTGGTCATTGAACAGAGATGTAGCCAGAGCACATCCATCAACTGTGACGCAGAGGTTGTCAATAGTCTGGCTCAGACAGTTGCCAAGGAGAAGGATGGATCCAGTAGCTATGGAATAATGTTAGCAGTAAGGTCTGAAGACACTGGCTTTGGTTTTTCTAATATATCATTGGAGGAAATTTTTGCACTTCTGAAGGAAGTCATGGCAAGGTTCATCTGGGTGCCATCAGTGTATTGTGGAGCCTGATATTGTATTTTCAATGTAGGTGCAACATGTAACAAGGTGTAAGTGCGAGCTAAGGAAAAGCCACTGGGGAAGTCTGTAAGTGACTATGCGAGATTAGGAAGAAAAGCCAGTGGTGTTAATTCTGACTATGGGACAATAAATAAGAATGAAACTAGTTGACTGCAGTGCCACCTGACTGAATGATAGGGAGAGGATTTAGTCAAGGCAAGTGCAGTCAGCATGTATAAAGTTACAGATAGTTCTGAAGAAACATTTGATTCTGTTTCCCTCTCTGCCAGATACTGCCAGAGCTGCTGAATTTCTGCAGTATTTTCCCTTTGGTGGACCTGGATTGAAATGTAAAGGTCATGGCTTACTCACATAACTGGGGCCTTGACTCTGTTTTAACTATAATTCAGGGAAGCCTGCTTGGTGGCAAACTCAAAGGTAAATCCGGAAGGAACTGGTAGCGGGGTCAGAAGAGACCAAGTTAAATTTAAAATGAAGAACTGTGGATGTTGGAAATCTGAAACAAAAGTAGAAATACAGAAATTGCGGGATGAACTCAGCAGGTCTGGCAGCATCCGTGGATAGAAAACAGAGTTTTTTTTTGTTAGTTTTTCCAAGGATTCCTGGTGGTCTAGGAGCATCAGGAATGCTTTTCTTGTCCATGGAAAGAGGGCTTTCCACCCTTTATAATCTCTTCCTCTCCCTGTACCCACCCCTCAGCAGATATCCTTATGCTGGGGAATGTTTCCTGCGGTCTGATCCAGCAGAATACCTGATGCTGTCTCCTGATCTCGCTGTTATTCCCATTGGCTTCAAGTTAAGTTAACGGGAATCATGGAAACCATTCTACCTAGATCAACCTTCATCTGTTCCATCAATAAATCTCACCCATCATAAGGTTAGAATTGGGAATTTTCATTGATGTTAGCAGAGTGCTTGGGACATTATGAGACTGCTGAGATACTGAAGAAATTCAGAAAGACCTGAACAGTATCCAGGCTTGGGCTGCTATGTGGCAAGTAATGTTCATACTACAAAAGTATAAGACAAAATTTGTCTCCAACAAGGTACAGTCTAAGCACCATCCCTTAACCTTCAATGATATTGCCATTGCTGAATCCTCCTCAGCCAACATCTTGGTAGTTATCAGAATCTGAACTGGAATGACTGTGTAAATACTGTGGCTATAACTGTAGTTCAGAGACTAAGAATCCTGCAGTGAGTAACTTTCTGATTTCCTAAATGGATCATTACAAGGTACAAGTCAGGAATGAGATGAAATATTTACCACTTGCCTGGATGATTCCAGCTCCAGCAGCACTCAAGAAGCTTGACACCATCCAGGACAAAGCAGCCTGCTTGGTTGGCACCACGTCAATAAACATTTACTGTTTCCACCACCAATGCTCATTAGCAGCAGTGGGTATCATCTACAAAATACACTGCAGAAATTCACCAAAACTACTTAGACCACGCCTTCCAAACCCATAATCACTACCATCTGAACAATAGGGGCAGCAGATGCATGTAAACACAAGCAACTGCAAGTTCCTTTCCAAGCCACTCTTCCTCCAAGCTCCTGCACAGCCACCAGTCCAAGGTGTTTCTTCCCATCCCTGCTGCCAAACCTGCAGCTATGTTGTTCTATGTGCTTCAGAATTTAGACTGCTACTGGGACTGCTGGCCAGTCAGGTAGCTGTCAACACTCTGAGATGGGTCTTCATTCTGGGCAAGAGGCAGAACCTCACCTCCAGCCTTTAATGTTGCATAGAGCGGTAAGTAGCTATGGGATTCTTTGTGTGATAGGGGATCCCCAATCATCCGAAAACTTCTGACCGGTGTGTCTAGAAAATATACATTTAAAGACATTGGGCTGAATCTTACCAATGTCACTGTCAAGATTGCTTGTGATCATGATTTTTACACTGAGTTATACACTGCATGCATTTCATATGCAGGATACTATGATGACAAATGATTTCAGCTTGTACGGTGAAAATGCCTGATCAACGCTTTTGCTCCCTGAAGGGCCTGATATCGCTCACAAGTAGAGCCCATGTGATTGGACGGGAAAATTAACACTTAGTCTGTCCACAGTGGGTATTATCACAGCCATTTTTCATTTACAGTGCGTGTTTATTATTTGCATGAATAAGGAAGACATCGCAGGTTGATTTTGGCAGAGCAAGTTGCAAATTCAGTCTGATAAAGAAGTTTCCCCCACCAAACCTCCATGCATCTTGCTCCATGGTCTTCCAAGCTATCTGGGGGAAGAGGAGGGCTTTATTGTCTGCACTAAAAGGCAAGGAAAATCATAGATATTAAGCATAAGTAGGTGCGAAGTGAGTGAGCAGTAAGACATGAAGTGGGGAGCCCTAAGAGACACCCTGGTTGAACAGTTCAGATGGGTGTCTGTCCCTATGCACAAAGTGCCCTGGCAGCAAGTGCTGATATGCTCCAAAGTGTAGCACTGAAATAGAGAACAATATTTTTAGTGAGTCAGAGATGTGCCATGAGGATGCAGTGTGACTAGTACGTATTTGATGGCAGTGTCCGTGGATAGGATTGTGGGCGTAGTTGCCCATGGAGTGTGCCCAGTGGCATTGGTGATTGTTGTCCAAGATGGAAGCCCAGAGGAGCAAGTCATGAGCTGGAATCAACAGGTAACTGCTCTGACATTCATGTCGGGAAATGACATAATGTAGTTTCTATCCAGCACATCAGAAAATAGAAACTGCATGTCAATAAGGCAAGATTAGGTAATAATTGCATGCTGATATATGCAAATGTTTTCAAACAGGCCTCTTGCCATTAAAAACCTGGTTGCATTTAATTTTCTGATCGTGCCCCATTTCCCAACTGACTCACTAATACTCATGTCATTAAGGGGTTGGGAATATTTCGCCTGATTTAATTTCTCAATTGTGTCATTTTAAAAATGTTGCACAGAACACTTTATGTGCTTGTACTACACATGTTTTCAGTAGAACCATCCTTCTGGTTGCATGATTGTAATCAGTCCAGCTATATAACCAAATAAAATTTCTATTTTTGAGTCGGGCACTGGATGTTCCAAAAGTAGTTTCATCACATGACCCATCAACTTATTTTCAGAATCGTATATAAGTTAGCAAAGGAGAAAATAAAGTTAAGAAAATGACAACAAAAGATAAATATTCAGTCCAGAAATGTTGGGTGTTATAGTCTTCAATATGCCCTGTACATCTTATTTGTTTTCCTTCTTGTGCAGGATATGGGTAGTGTAATGTTCTGTTGCAGCTGTTCTAGACAGTGGATAATATAAATGACAGAAATCATAGAATAATCCGCTAGAAACAAACTTGCAGCTGGTAACCTTGAAATATGGAAACCAAAGTACAAAATAGAAAATATTTGAGGCCTTGATGGAATTTTGCCTCCCACCATCTAGTGGAAATGGGTCCAGCTGTGGTTAAAAATAGAGGCTCTCTCGCCACCATCTTGCTTATTGCAATTTTAAAATCTAGGGGCAGGAATTTTTGTATGGTGGCCCTTCCTCCTCACTATCGAAAACTTTCAGCAGGGAATTGCACCCCAGTCAAGTCAGTCTACAGGGACTACAGCCCTTCACTTTGTAGGTGTGCTCATGGCCGACAATTCTGTAATCCTAGCTGCTCCAATGTGGTACCATGACTACTCCTTGGGCTTGGTTCCTTGGTTCTTAGTATCTGGAGGCAGTGCTAAGGAAATGCACAGAAGGAGACATCCAGGAGATGGGGAGGCAATGTTAGAGGTTGTATTGGAAAGGAAAGTGGGGCAGAGGACACAGGGTGGAAGCAGACCTGGGAAAGGATCCTTGATCAGGAAACCTAACCTTCATGCAGCCTCTTCTCCCTGATGCCTCAGCAGGCTAACTTGTCATATCTTCCCTTTCTCCCCCATTCCTAACTATCTCCAGGCAGGAAATGGGATGCAAAAACAGAATTTTCTGGAAAAGCTCAGCAGTTCTGGCAACATCTGTGAAGAAAAAATCAGAGTTAACGTTTTGGGTCCGGTGACCCTTCCTCAGAACTCCGGAAATGGGATGCGTTGGAAACTCTATAGACTGCAATGGAAAAGTTGCCAGTGCTATTTTAGAACTGACAATATTAGGCCTTATACAATTTTTAGCAAAGTGGCCACTACTTGGAAGCTTTGCTACATCACACTAACAGTTTGGAGTCATTAACCATAGATTGGAAATGGGTAGAGTATAAAAGTTGAGTAAAAATACGGTTGCCCCTTTTATAGTTCATCATGAAATGCTCTTGCCTGAATTCTGTCTGTTTTGTAAGTGGTAGTGGTTCTGTGATTAGAAAAGGTAAGCGAACAGTTCTATAGAAGGGGAATGGTCTTCAGACCTATTAGAATTGATTAGCCACTGGATAAAGTGCCATTTAGCATTCTACAATATTAAAAGGTTAGCCAATTGTGAGATCCAGAGCTACTTGTTTAAACTCTGCACATTGTTTTCGTTCATTATTTACATAACAATTCAGCCATCTGTCTGACCATTTGAAAGCTTTGACAGATGTATCAGCTTTTGGCTGCCTTCAAATGCACCGATAGATTCTGAACTACTGAGTTTTATTTACCCAATTGTCCTGGGAATGTGAATTGGATGGCTTAGCTACATTCTAAAGCACAAATGGATACTGTACTGCAGAGATTTTTGCATTAATTTATGTGATATAGGCATTGCTGGCTAAGACATCAACTATTCCCCATCCATAATTGGCCTGGAGGACTTGATGATGAGCTGCCTTCTTGAAATGCTGCAGTCTTTGAATGTGTAGGAATACCCACAGTGCTCCTTGGAAGAGAATTCCAGGATTTTTACCTAAAGACTTTGAGAGAAAGGTGATACATTACCAAATCAGGATATTATGTGACTTGGAAGTGTGACTTGGAGGTGCTAGTGATGCAATTTATCTGTTACCTTTATCCTAGAAGGTTGCAAGTTTCTTTAGTGTTGTTGGAGCTAGCACAATCAGGCAAATGGAGGGTACTCCATCACACTGCTGACATGTGCCTTATCAATGGTCATCAGCAATGGGGAGATAGAAGTGAGTTACTCACTGCAGGATTCCTAGCCTATGACCTGCTCTTGTAGCCACAGTATTTATGTATCTGGTCCAGTTTAATATCTGGTCAATGATTCAATGACTTTGTTTACCCAGCCATCCTGGGAATGTGTATCTGATATTTTTGAAAGGTGATGTTAATAGTTTCTTTTTACATACCTGTTCAAGTGATTTTTAAAAAATGTTTTATCAGCCTTTCAATAACTACGAAATGTTTTCTGGTTCCTCTGAGTTTTGTTTATAAAGTGGATATTGATTGAGTGGGCTAGAGGATAAAGGTATAAAGGAGGTGAGGAGGTTCTTTATACTGGTTTGAAGAACTAGTTTATTGTTTTGGGAATGGAGGCACAATTTAACTTGGTCATTTCAGAAACAGCTCGTCCCTGCAGACAATGATGACAGTTTCACTGTATGGACAGAGGTTGGATTACAATGTCTCGAAGATTCACAACTCCTAATTCACATTTTCTGTTATGAAAATCCAATCACTGGTGTCAAATTTTGTTTGTTAACTCTTCTGTGAGGTGCTTTGGAACACTTTACCGTACTAAAGGGTCTTTATAAGTACAAATTCTTGTTCTTGTTTTATGTCTGATTGATATCTCCTCAGAAAAATTTGACAGTTTATCATTAACACAGTATTGTGCTGGAGTGTCAGCGTAGATTTGGTGCTTAGTCACTGGATTGTGACTTGAACTCTAAATCTTTTGACTCAGACATGGGGGTAGTTCCAATGAGTGCTTGGGTCAGTGCAACTGACTGGGTTGGTGGTGAGTGTCACTTGCTGGCAGGTAGAGAGAGCAGCTTATGTGTAATATTCTAACACGGGGCCAAGAGGAGCACTCAGGTTGTGCTGTGCAAGTTTAACACATACCAAGGAAGCAGTAGAGCACTTTTAATTGAAAATGGGTGCAGCAAAGTTGGGGGTGGCTACTTAATTGAATAAATTGTCATATACTTAAAATATTTGCACTGTTCACTATTGTTGGCATTTCTACCTTATCTAATTTGTTGGCTGGTGCACTTTCACCCGGAAGTGTGTACATGTTTTCTGCATGACAATTTGGGAGTATGGTAGGCTTTTATGCATCTGAAAAACAAGCACTGCACCACAAAAGGCTGTTAAATCCTCATTGACATTGATATTAAATAACGTTAACTTTTCAACCAGCTGCTTTCTCCATGCTGACTGGCTTCATTTAAGTAACAGATCATTGATAATGAAGATACTGCTAGATCTTACTGTGGCAATGTTTCATCTCATTATGACGACATGGCTTAGAAGTTATCTCAGTTAAAAAAGTGGTAAAAAGTGATAGGTAAAAAGAGATAGATGTAATTTTCCTTCTCTGTTCTGAAGTGAATTCTCGAATTGGGGTAACAATAAATTGATGATTTACAGAATTTTGTAGAACTCTTGGTAATTTCTTACACCTAGCCAATAAAATGTTGCGCATTACAGATTGCAATGTAACTTCTAAGTCAATATTACTATGTGTCCAGTTCTACCAAAATGCTTTGCGAGTCACTGCCAAAGTTTCATTGTCTACATATGCACAGCTTTGATGCTCCGCATGGCCAACTAATATTTACTACAAGTCATCTTGGAAAACTAAAGTTGTTTAAGAAAATTTCCTGCACTTCTATATGATAAAGATGAAATATTCTGCATTTAAATTCTTTTAGACCAGGTTTTTATTGTTTCATTGGAGTCTAACATTCTAAGTATTTGAGGATTTATACTGAGAGTACTAATTATCAACTGTTTTCTTTATGTATTGCTCATTTATGTTGCTTTGTCTTGTTTCTAGACAATGGGAAATTCATATGCTGGGCAACTGAAATCTGCACGCTTTGAAGAGGCTCTGCACAATTCAATAGAGGCATCACTTCGTTCCAACAGCATTTCTCCACGACCAATCTTCTCTCAGCTGTACCTTGAATCAGATCAACCACCTTTATCCCCAGAAGGTTGAGAGAACTTTTTTTTTGTTTGGTTTCTTCGAACATTGATTTACTTTAACAAATGATTTTTTTTATTGCTGGCATCCTCTCTGATATTCTCACTTCCTCTGGGACCTTTTTATGCGAGATTGTAGCATCTGTGTAGCAAATTGCACTGCATGCTGTAAGTGTAGCCATATATAGGATGTATCATAGGATCTCATACTATATGAAAGTACGTACCCTAATGAAATATCATTGAAATAACAACCGAAGTTACTTTTGTGTATGCACAAACTATCCTGCCAGTCGGATTTTGGCAGAATGTGGACAGAATGTGTAGATCATTCAGTGTATAGCCAATAATTTTTTTAAAACCGAGCATAGTAAGTATAGAACCTTAACCAAAACAGGGAGATATGAGTAAGTCTGCTGCGACAGTACAGCATATTTTATACTTCAGTACTTCTCTGTTGAGACTCGTCCTTTTCAAGTGACATTTTAGAATGTCTTTAATTAGTCAGTATTCTATAATCAAACAAAAAACTTGGATTAAATTCATTTTTGTATTACTCAGGATTCTCACTAACCATTCATATTGATACAAAGACAACATGAGCTGCCTTTACACTCATTTAGCAGAGTTTGATATTTGTGCAAATGCGAGATGAGAAAATTCTTTTTCACAGTGAGTAGTTAACGTTTGGGATGTACTGCCTGGACATGTCATATGATGGTGTAGGTTCAATTGAGACAATTAAGAGGGCATTGGATGATTATTTAAATATAGAAACACTAATGAAATCTTTACTGGAAACAACACATGCTGGAGATCACAGCCGGTCAGATAGCATTTGTGGAGAGAGAGCAAGCTACTGTTTTGAGTCTAGATGACTCTTCATCAGAGCTGAAGTGAAGTGTGGAGGGAGCAACACCTATGCAATAGTGGGGGCTGGGTGCAGGGTGCTGTGGCAGTGGTGGGGTGTCGAGTGCATTTGGAATGTGAGAATGGCAGAAAAATGGTGTGTCTAACTGCCAGACTTGAAAGAGAACACAGTCCCACAGGGGTGCGGGGAGGGCTTGAACAATGTGGGCTCTGGTGGGAATGCTCTATAATCACGGCAGAGGTCCACCAAGGCTTTTGACATTGGGATAAACTTGCTACATCTTTTAACAAAGTTTCGGGCATCAAGGCAAGATTCTTGCTCAGCTGTGGCAAGTTGCCAATGAAGGATTGTTGCTCATTAACAACTGTAGTAATTGCAGATCTTGCCTCACAAATATACAGCTTTCTGTAATACCACTTCCTGCAAGGAACCTAAAGGCAGACAATTCTAGATATGAAAGTTCACTCGCTACTTGCTCCACAGGAGCTCCATGTTGGGCAGCCGGCATCAATGTCTTAGGGCATACTTAATGAGCACCTTCCATATGGGCCTCACATCAAAGGACATTGGCATCCAATATGTACCAACATCTAAGAATGTGTATGGCACTTCTGCAAGTGACTTAGATGATGCTTCTTCGGCTGCAACAACCACAATAAATGTAATGCTGCAATGGGAGATGCACCCAGCTCATGGACTGGGTCAGGCTGCATCTCTGGCCTGTTTGCTTGCAATCTTAGGCTCACAAAGTGAAGGCTGTCTGGATGCTCACAGCAGCCTTGCCTTTCCTTCCATTGACTTGCCTTCTAGCACCTTACCCCTCAGCCAGAGATACCAGGTTTACATTAGTGCTGCAATGCCGAACTGTTTGCGCAACACAAAGCCAGGAAACTTCCCATGGTCATCAGCACTGTATTACTCCCAATCTCTCATACCCCACCATCCTTTTGGGATCTTAAGGAAGCCTTCTGAAAATCCAAATACACCACATCCAGTGTTTTTTTTTAACTGATCTACAATAAAATCCTCAACAAGCTCTACAATAGGTTTGTCAAACATGACTACCCTTTCAATAATCTATATTGACTGCCCAAACATAACATTACTTTGTAGGTGTCCAGTTATTACATCCTTTATAGTAGATGCTAGCATTTTCCCTACTAGTGATTTACAGATCTGTAGTTTTCCTCTGGTTTCTTTCTCCTTCCCTTCATAAAAACATTCATCTGGCAGAGTTCATTGTTTGCTGTTCTGGAACATGATCTCTTTTCACTGTATTGTTGGAATATTTTCTGTCCTTCTAACCACACCAAGAAGAGATGAAAAATAATTCTCCTGCTTTTTCTGTCATAGAGTCATTGTCATGGAATACTACATCACTGAAACAGACTTTCCATTCAATCAGTCCATACCGACCATAATATCAAACTGAACTAATCCGACCTGCCTGCACTTGGCGCATATCCCTCCAAACATTTATTATTCATGTACTTATTCAAAAGTCTTGTAACATTATAACTGTACCCGAATCAATCACCTTCTCTGGAAGTTCATTTCACACATGAACTGCTCCCTCTGTAAAAAAAATTACAGTTGCCTCTCATATCCTTTTAAAATCTTTCTCCTCTCAGCTTAAAAATATGTCCCCTAGTCTTGAAATCCCCCACCCTATGGAAAAGATTCCTGCCATTCACCTTACCCATACCTTCATGATTTGATAAACCTTTATAATGTCACCCCCAACCTCCTACATTCCAGTGAAAAAAGTCCCATCCTATCCAGCCTCTCCTTATAATTCAAACCTCCATTCCCAGCAACATCCTAGTAAATCTTTTCTGAATCCTCTCCAACTTAATTGTATCCTTCCTATACCAGGGCTACCAGAATTGGACACTGTATTCCAGAAGAGGCCTCACCGAAATCCTGTACAAGCTCAAAATGACGTCCCAACTCCTGTACTCAAAGATCTGAGCAATGAAGGAAGCGGGCTAAATGCCTTCTTAACCACCTGGTGTACATGTGATACAAACTTCAAAGACTTATGTACCTGAACCCCTAAGTCTCTCTGTTCTACAACAGTACCAATGTCCTACCTTTAATTGTATAAGTCCTGACCTTGTTTTTTTTTAACCAAAATGCAATATCTCACATTTATCCAAATTAAACTCCATCTGCCACTCCTCAGCAATTGGCCCAAAAGATCAAGATCTCTTTTCGTAATCTTAGATAACCTTCTTCACTGTCCACTGTACAATCAATTTTGGGCTCATCTGCAAACTTACGAACCATGCATTCTATATTCTCAACTAAATCATTTATGTAAAGAACAAACAAAAGTGGACCCAGCACTGATCCCTGTGGAACAATGCTGGTCTCAGGCCTCCAGTCTGAAAAACAATCCTCTACCACCACTCTCTATCTCCAGCTGTTAAGGCAATTTTGTGTCAAATTGGTAAATTCACACTGAATCCAGGGTGATCTAACTTTACCAATTAGTCCATTGGTACTAATGGAATTTTGTCAAAGGCGTTACTAAAGTCCCAAGTAAACAGCATCTACTGCTCTGCCCTCATCAGTCTTTTTCATGACTTGCTCAAAAAAAAACTCAATCAAGTTTGCAAGACACCATTTCCCTCGCACAAAACCATGCTGACTATCTGTAATCATTCCTTGCCTCTCCAAATGCATTTAAATCCTTCAACATCTTGCCTACCACCGAAGTCAGACTCACAGGTCTATAGTTCCCAGGTTTCTCCTCACATCCCTTCTTAAACAAAGCCACAACATTAGCCTCTCTCCAGTCATCTACACCTCACCTATAGTTATAGATGATACAAATATTTCTGCAAGGGGGCCCACAATTTTCTCCGCAACTTCCCATAATGTCATGAGATACACTAGATAATGTCCCGGAGATTTATCCACCTTGATATTTTCTAAGACCTCCAGCACTTCCTCTTCTGTAATATGAGCTGTTTTCAAAACATCAGTATTTTATTTCCCTGGGTTTTCAAGCCTCCATTTCTTTCTCCACAGTAAAAACTGATGTGAAATATTCATTTAATATCTCTCCCATCTGATGAGGTTCAACACAAAGATGGTCTCTTTGATCTTTAAAGGCCCCTACTCACTCTCTCTAGTTGCTTTCTTGCTCTTAATGTACTTGTAGAATCTCTTCAGATTATCTTTAACTTCACTGCCAAGGCTATCTCATATGCCGTCTTTGCCTTCCTGATCGCCCTCTTAGAATGCCCCTACAATCTATACTGTTTCAGAGATTAATTTGAACTCAGTTGTCTGTATATCGAATGATTCTTTTTTATTCTTGACTAGAACCTTAATATCTTTATTCATCCATTGTTCCGTAATCCTACCAGCCTTACCTTTCCACCCTAACAGGAACATAATGACTCTGAATGCTCATTATCACATTTTTGAAAGCCTCCTACTAATCTGACATCCCTTTACCTGCGAACAGTCTACTCCAGTCAATTTTGAAAGTTCTCTTGTGACAAAAGCAGTTTATGTTCACATATGCTGTTTCTGTTTAAGTATGATGAGTTCATAATAGAGAAAACAATTGTAGTCACAGAAATTTACCATGCCTGAAATAAAAACCCCAAAAATTCAGCTCCAGCTGGATATTTTGGATCAAGGAAATCAGCCAAATATCATAAAATGAGGGACAAACAAAGTGCTGTAGAATATCAGCAGCTCTGGCAGCATCTTTAGTGATAGAAATGGAGTTAATGTTTTGACTCCAATAATATTTTTCTTTTGGATCTGTTGTAATCCTCTAATGCACACTTATAATAAACCTATTATTCAAAACTCTTGTCTGTGTTGCAGAAACATATTAAGTTAATACTTGGGTTATATTAATTTCTGAGCACAGTGTTGTGCTTAGTGACCTATCTGCACTCTCGCTAATTGAGGGTAGGGGCCCCATACCTTTTGTGTGCCCTCTTCAACAATATGATTGTAGAAATGGTATAAAAAGGCTGGAGCTCTCTGTTGACTCATCCAAATTGCCTGTGACTCTGAGCACAACAGGAAGTCCTGGCAGCATTATTTGTCAATTGTGTTATAGAATCAACCTGCTGTCTTAAAGGGAAGCAGCATAAATATACTGCTGCAAAG